GGCTTACCATGTCTGTGTAGATCTCGATAGCTCTGATCAAACAGTTAATGGCCTCTGAGAAGAGAAAGAACAGATTTAGTGAGCACGGGCGTTTGGGAAGAGCGGTGCCGGTTGCCACCCCTCCCCTCCCGCTCCCAGCCTCCCCAAAGCGACGGAGCTGTATTTATAGCGCGCTCAGAGATCAATAGCTACCGAAGAAAAGCTGCTGAGGCTACAAGGCTTCGAGGGAAATTCAGAGCACGCGAGCAGCGGCAGCGACCGTCAGGGGACGGCAGAGCAAATCCGAGACTCTCTCTGTTGGCACCGTCGCGTCCCCGCGCCCCGGCGTCTGGCAGCCAGTTCGCACCAGGCAGCCGACGGACTCCTCGCCGTACCAGAGGTCTCTGATCACAGACCGCCCGCACCGAGATCAGCGACTCTGCTCCCGTACGCGTTTGAACCCCCCAACCCCCCCGCGGACGGGAGTTACCCTAAGCCAAGGGGCACGCGGGGCGGGTTTAGGCTTCAACGGCAGCCTCCGAGCTCGCCGGGTGCCGAGGAGCTGTTGCCGCTACGCTTCCACCACAGCCCTGCTCGCTTCCACCGCAGCCCTGCTCGTGGTGCACCGTGCCCCGGGGCGGACGGGAGCAGGGCCGCGGGGGCGGGGAACAGGACGCATCTCCTGAGGTCCCCAGAGCAGGCGGGGAACGAAAAGCAGAACCCAGAGCCGCTCCACGCAGCTCCGGGAGCTGGGACGCAGGAGTGAGCTATTTGTTCCCCAGAACAAAAGGCCTTTGTTTGGGGCGCGGGGCGTTTTGAGACGCAGACCCCTAAACGTTCGGGATGCAGTCCCTGTGGAGGGACCAGCCCCGGTGGTAACTCCACAGCCCCCCTTTCTCCTGCCCCGCGGGACCAAGCCGGGAGCCCCCCTGCCGCCTCTCCCCAGACCGCGGGGTAGGATTTAACCCGGCGTCGACTCAGACCTGGCCCCCACTGTGACGTTTCATCCCAGAAGCTCAGCCGAAGGGGAGACACGCGCTCGTTGCTTAGACAAGCGCCCAGATCCACCACAGCCGGTCGCACGCAGGGCAGGACGGGGGGGCTGAAGCCGCAGCGTTTTGCTGTACTTCAGGAGGAGGCGCCTTCCCCTCGCCGTCTCCGAAGAGGCGTGGGAGGAACTCTGCTGCAGCTAAATGCCAGGCTCCAGGAGAGGGATCTTTCTCTGACTGCTCCCAGCTGTCGGGCTCGCAGCGCTCCCTGCCAGGGAGCCGAGCAGCCGAGGAGCTGCCATCTGACTGACGGCTGTCACAGCCCCCCCCTCACCCCGCCCGGGTACGTGGGACGGCGGTTCACGGTGGAGGAGAGACAGGAGAGAGCGGGGCTGGATCCCGAGCTCGTGTCGCAGCCGACCCAAGGGACCAGGCCAGCGCGGGCGCTCGGCTCCGAGGGCGGGAACACGTCCCTCCGGCGCCGAGCTCTTGGGTAAAGGCAGCTGCGGGACCCTTAACCAGCTCTGAGGACGGAGTCAGTTCGCCGAGAAGAGACAGTCGCGGACACGCAGGTGGTGTTCAACCACCTTTTTCTCTCCAGGAGTTCACCTGCAGGGTTGTGTCTTCATCCCGGCC